ATATATATATATATTCAAAGATATACAGATGTTAGCTATTTCCTTCTAAACAACATTTCAGATAACTTGCTTGTACAATTTGTTCTTGCATTTCTATGTATTTTTAGGTATGCTGTATTATTCAATGTATATTTAATTTAATTTATCTTTTTGAACAATTTAATTTTACACACTGAAATGTGAAATGTGAGTGGAAAAAATGTGAGTGGAAGGCATGGAATATTATCTTGACAAATTTAATAAAAACAATTCTAATATCATTTCATTTTATTTTACTAGTCTAATTTTATACAGCAAATAGAGATGATATGACTTTTGCTTATTGTATAGTTTAAATGTCTACTATGTATCAGGTTTTGAGTTGCAAAAGTAAACAAGGCAAAATGGAAAATAGTTTTATACATATTATATACTTAAGAAGTTTTGGTAATTTTTCCTCAAATTATAAGATACTAAACAACTTCATCAATGATAAAACCAAACATGACAAGCGTTTTGGTAAATATAGTCTTTTATAAAGCACATCTCATAGAGATAATTTACCTCCACTCTGCTTTTGTACATAATGAAATTTATCAGCAAATTATAAAATCAAGTGGGTTATTCAGCATAAATCAGTTTGAATGAATAGAGTAGGTACCAGTGAAAATAAATTGCTAAACTAGTTCAACTGGCCATGTCATAAATTTATTGAGTTATAGAATACATGTACACATATTTTTCTGAAGTTTCCATTAAATTTATATTTTATTTAAGTGGTGACAAAGGCTTTGCTTAACCAAACCTTAGATTCCTGAACATTCTTTGCTAAACCTATTTGCACACTATCTTGTAACATTCGCTGTTGGCAAGAGTGCTGTTGAGTTAGTTCAGCAAGAACTCATCCTTCACCTTTTATATCTGATTGTTACTGATAACTAATTGGGATTTGATTCCTTACCATCTCTCATATGTTTGATTGCTCTGTCTTCTCTTCACTGTAATTCTTACCAGGTGAATTTAGCTAGAAATTCTTTTACTCTTGGATTCTAAGCCATTTTCCAACAGCCAACTCCCATTTGTATCACTGAATTCTTCAAAATTTTCATCCTACCAGCACATTTTTTTTCTTGACTACAAACTTCACCTTAACTATACTCCTACATTCAAAATCAAACACAGTTCTCTACTGGAGCAATTTTCTCTATTTTTTGATATTTTAATATTTTAATCCCTATAGAATATTAAAAGACAACAATTACATATTTTTTATGCAGAAATTTAGAAATTAAAACCATACACAATACTGGAGCATGACAATCCTGATGACATTTTGTGACATAGCTAAATTTTCATTTTGACAAACCCTTTTAATCAATCATCTCTAATACGTAAGAAACTTTGACTTCATTTGTCATCACTTAATGAGATATACAATGCAAGTTTTTTTAAAAGGCAGAGGTTTGAATTTGAGAGAAAGTCTTATCATAATAAGCAATCTTTCTTTTATATTTGGAAGACTTGTACATCTGGAATCATGAATACATTTAATACACCATGAGAT